TCCAGAGTAGAATAACTTCTTTAATGCATACTTTTGCACCAGATTGGCTTTCTCAGGTTATCCCAAACAACTGAGTCCTTTGTTCATAATTTGGTGTAGTGTCTGTGTTCATATAAAGGAGTGAATTAATGAAATTATATTGAAATGAAATTGGAATTACCATAGGGGCATACTGTTATGAAATGAGAAGACTCATCCCATGCTTTAGTATCATTTTTGCTTCAAATGACAAACTACTTCAAGTGGCAGAAACTACTAAAAGCAGTTTTTTCTTTAAGCACTTAAAGGTTAACGTATGGATATGAAGACTCTTACAAAGTCTGAACTCCTTGAGAGCAAGGTCACATTCCACCGATTTTTTTTTTAATTTTATTTATTTATTTTAGAGATTGAGGGCAGAGGGAGAGAGAGAATCTCAAGCAGACTCCCTGCTGAGCATGGAGCCTGATGCGGGACTCGATCTCAGGACCCTGAGATCATGACCTGAGCTGAAATCAAGAGTCAGATGCTTGAACTGACTGAGCCACCCAGGCACCAGCATCCCATCCATTTTTAAGTCTTTTTTTTTTTTTTTTTTTGTAGTAATCTCTACCCCCAATATGGGGCTTGAACTCACGATCCTGAGATCAAGGAGGAGCTTATCAAGAGTTGCATGCTTCTCCGACTGAGCCAGCCAGGCGCCCCACATTCCATCCATTTTTGTATCACTCCTACCCAGTATCTCAGCAGATGGTAGGAGTGCAGAGAAGGTTGATAGCTGAGTACTTACCATTGGCGTTTGGGCTCCACCAGCAATCTGTGCATTCCTGGTGCTCTGCAGAACTGTGCACTAACAATAGCAGGGCTTGTGGGGAAATGTCAGGACAGGGACTGACCATTCACACTCCCTGCAGTTTTGTAGGCAGGGCCGTGCTAAGACCAGTGCCTGGTACCCGGGCCAGTGAACTGTGGCTGGAGGCTGCTGCAGCTCAGACTCCACATGGACGGGAAAGGCACTGCGGGAAACGCTGCCACACTTTACTTCCCGCCTGGTTGTCGGGCTGGGGCACTGCACGTGCGGGCAGCTCCCTGGCCGTGGGGCTCTGGAAAGGTGGGGTCAGGGACCTTTGCAACCCGCCAACAGCCTGAAAGCCACACGGGCTCACAGCACGCCCCTCTGGGTGGAGAGATCTGCAGGCAGCCTCCCTTTATACATCTTTTTAAAAGGCAGCTAGAAAAATCTCCTGTTGCCAGTGCACCAGCTGAGCAGAGAGCTTTTCTTTCCTGCTGAAGATCATAATTCTGTCTACTGGCTCTTCTTACTTGGGAAAAGTGGCAGAAGCAGGTAGTAAGAGAGACTGTATTGTATTGTGTTTTGTTGGAAGGGTCTGAATTTATTGCCAAGTAAAGGCAGAGAATATTGCCAAGTAATGGCAAATGCGGATCAGGTTTTCTGGAGTCAGTATCTTGATGTGTCAAGACCGAGGAGGTGCAGCTTTCCACAGGTGGAGAGGCTGGCTCTGTGCCAGAGCCAGGCAGTGCTGGGGGCCGGCGAACGCTCAGCCTTCAGGTGGGGGCTTTGGACCCAGGAGCCTGGTCTGGAGCAAGGCAAGAGTTCTCTTGCTCAGGCCGCGTGTGGGAACGCTTGTCATTTTAGTCAAAGAGCAGCAAGGAAGGAATAGCTGTGGGTTTATCCACCGGGGTGTATCTCATGTCTACTCAGATTTAAACGTTTGCTGCTCTCTGGTATCCCTCTTTGAAGAGACTGGAAAAACTGAATTGATTTTGTTCTTTGCTCCCTGACCAGACATGCCTAAAAATAAGCTGAGTTCAGGTGTTCCTGAGCAGAAGCTATACTTGAGAAAAGAGTTTGGGAAATCCAGGGGTTATCTTGCCTTACTCTTTTTAAGCTTTTTCCAGTTGATGTTTCTTTTTTTAAGTTTATTTATTTAAGCAGTCTTTACAATGTGGGGCTTTGAACTCACGACCCCGAGATCAAGAGCCAAATGTTCTACCAACTGAACCACCTAGGTGCCCCTGATGTTTCTTTTTTAATAATACTTTCATTAGGTACACTTCACCATTTTAAAGTACAGTTGACCCTCAGACAACACGGGTTTGAAACACACAGTCCACTTATACATGGATTTCTTTCAATAAATATGGTACAGTTCTGTCATTGTATTTTCTCTTCCTTATGATTTTTTTTTTTAAAGATTTTATTTATTTGAGAGAGAGAGAATGAGAGGGAGCAAGCACATGAGAGGGGGGAGGGTCAGAGGGAGAAGCAGACTCCCCGCTGAGCAGGGAGCCCGATGCGGGACTCGATCCAGGGACTCCAGGATCATGACCTGAGCCGAAGGCAGTCACTCAACCAACTGAGCCACCCAGGTGCCCTCTTCCTTATGATTTTCTTAACAGCATTTCCTTTTCTCTACCTTACTTTATTATATGAATACAGAATATAATGCATCTAACACACACAAAATATGTGTTAATTGAATGTTGAACATTTTTATGTGCTTATTGGACATTTGATTATCTTTTTTAGAGAAATGTCTCTTCAGACTTTTTGCCCATTTTTGATTTGGGTTATTTGTCTTTTTACTATTGAGTGGTAAGGGTTCTTTATATAATCTAGGTAGATACTAGGTCCCTGTCAGACGTATGTTTTATATATATTTTCTTCCCTTCTATGGGTTGTTTTTTACTTTATTGATGGTGTTTTTTGACACCTGAAATTTTACAATTTATTTTTTTATTCTGTGTGCTTTTGATGACATATCTAAGAAACTGGTACCTAATCTAAGGTCACAAGGATTTACTCCTATGTTTTCTTTTAAGAGTTTTATAATTTTTGCTCTTACATTGAGGTCTGACCCGTTATGAGTTAATTTTTTGTGAAAGGTATGAGCTCAGTGGTGATTCATTCTTGGTGCGTCTGCACCATTTGCTGAAAAGACTGTCACTTACCCTTTAAAACATCATGACGTTCTTGTCAACAATCAGTTACCCGTTAACGTATGGGTTTATTTCCGGACTGTCAGTTCTAATCCAGTGATCTTTGTGTTTGTCCCTATGCCAGGGCCACACCATCTTGATTACTGTAGCTTTCCTTTTCTTTTTTTTTTTTTTTTTGACATCAGGAAGTGTGACTCCTCCAACTTTGCTTTTCTTTTTCAAGGTTCTTTTGTCTATTAGAAGTCTCTTGGATTTCCATATGAATTTTAGGATCAGCTTGACAATTTCAAACCAACAGAAAAAAGAGAACCTGGGATTTGAATAGACATGACATGGAATCCAAAGATCAAGTGGGGGAGTGTTACTGTCTTAACGGGATTGTTTTCCGACCTGTGTGCGCAGGATGTCTTTCCATTTATTTAGGCTTTGGATTCTTATGATGATGTTTTGGTAGTTTTCACTGTACAAGTCTTGCAGATCTTTTGTTAAGTTTATTTGTAAATATGGTATTCTTTTTGATGCTATTCTAAAATGGGTCTCTTCTAACAGCACATTTTTTTACTCCATTCTACCAATTTCTGCCTTTTGATTGGAGTGCTTAGACCATTTTATATAATTACTGATAAGGTGGAATTTATGCCTACCATTTTGCTATTTGTTTCCCATGGGTCCTCTGTCTTTTCCTTTATTCCTCTGTTGTGCCTTCTTTTTTGTTAAGTAGTTTCTAGTATTCCATTTTAATTCTGTTGTTTATTTTTTTTAAATATATTTTTGAATTATTTTCTTAATGATTACTTTAGGGGTTACAATTAAAATAGTCTTGTCTTATTTTTAAGCTTTTCTGCGGACTTGAATCTGTCCCTGTAGGAATCCAACTGGGAGAACTCTGATCGCTGTGACTAGAAAGGGAGGGGACAGAAAGTCAACCAGGGACTGTTTGTTATCTGAGAATTATCTGTGTGGGTCGATTTATCTGTTAACTTCTTGGTGGGGTTGGGTTGTTTATACTACAAACCTCTCCACTGAACCGTGATACTTCCCAAATGTTTGATCTGACACAGTTTTTAGGAATCTGATCAGTAGCCTTCCCTCTCCGCTTGGAGATCTGAGAGGCCAGTGCTGGGGTGGTTGGAAGTCAGCATGGTGGTCCTTGCTTCCTCCTCCCACAGCCTGTTCTCTGAGGTCCTGTGCTCTCCTCACGTTTCCCAGGTGTCGAGCCCCCTGCTGAGTCTGGTACGCTCCCAGCTCCCAGGTCTGGAGGGACCCCAGTGCCTAAGACCTTCTCCCACGGCTCCTCATGGACAGCCTGTCATGAAACGAGGAGCCAGCTGAATGCGCGTAAGCACATCAGGACACCAGGATTTGGCCAGAAGGCAGTTCCTCTCCTCCCCTCAGGAATTCTCGGAGGTAATTTTGAATTTGGACAAGGAAGGCTTGAAAACCTTCCTTTATGTCTTAGTAGAATCTCAGCCACTGGGAAGACAATAGCCTTGCCTGGGTGGATTTTTCTGTACCCCTTAAGCTACACCATGTAAGCAATTACCTAGTACACTTCTCCTGAATTGATTTTAAGGATGGTTCTCAACATATTATGTTAAGCTGTTATAGTAATTAATATTTTATGAAGATTTCCACATGGGTCCTCATTTACTGCTTATAACAAGCTGTGAGGTTGATATTGCTAGTCTCATTTGGTAGATCAGGAGACAGGTCTAGAAAATGCATCCAGGGTCTCACTGATTCATTAATTCACTGAGAACCCAAGGGCTGTGCTCCTGGGTCCTGTTCTAATTCAGGACACACAGTGAACACAACAGACACAAATCCCTGCTTTCATGGGGATCCTAGTTTAGTGGGGGTGTGAGTGGAGAATGGGGGTGGGAACAGGCACGGAGATAGACCACAGACAGCTAACAGCTTGAAGAAGGAAATTACATGTTTCGTTACAAGGCATGAATATAGTGGAGAAAAGAAAAAGCAGACCAAGTTTAGGAGGGTGGGGCAGGTTGCAGTTTTAAAGGGAGTGGTTAGGAAGGTGTCATTAAAAAGCTGACATTTGGACATGGATTTAAGGAGTTGTGCTAACTAACCGCTTGGGTCTGGGACAAGAGCATTGTAGTTAGAAGAAAAGGTGGGTGCAGAGGTTCACTGGTGTGTCGGAGAAAATACCAAGGAGGCAGGGTGGCTGGAGGGGAACCAGCAGAGAGCAGTGAGTTGGCGGGGGAGGTGGTCAGGAGGTAACAGGAACCTGACCATGTCTAGCATTGCAGACTATTGGGGAATTCTAGGTTTGATGATGGGAAATCAGTGCAGGGTATTAAGCAGAGGAGAGACAGGATCTGTGTTCCATTTTATTTTTATTTTTTTAGGATTTTATTTATTTATTTGACAGAGAGAGCATAAGCAGGGGGAGTGGCAGAGGGAGAGGGAGAAGCAGGCTCCCCACTGAGCAGGGAGCCCGATGCAGGGCTCAATTCCAGGACCCCAGGATCACGACCTGAGCCAAAGGCAGACGCTTCACAGACTGAGCCACCCAGGAGCCCCTGCATTCCATTGTAATAGACTCATTCTGGCCTCTATATTGATATAGGATATAGGGGGTGGAGGATGAGGGTAGACGAGGAGACCATGTAGAAGCCAATAGAGAAATCCGTTACAGTAATTCAGACAAGAGATAATGGTGGCCTTCCCTGCTGGTAGCACATTTTAGATATAGTTTGAAGACAGAGTCCCTCAGATGTCCCGGCAGAATGGGTATGGGGTGTGAGAGCCAGGTACATGTCTCTAAGTATGTCAGGGATTTTAGCTGCTGTAACTAGACAGAGTTGTCACCCACTGAGACGGGGAAGTCTGCAGATAGAGAAAGTTGGGGTGCAAAAAGAGATCAGAAGTTCGGTTTTGAGCACGTTGAGAGATTCTAAGACAGATGGTGAGTGGACAGTTCTGTACAGATCCCACAGTGGAGGACCGTGGTCTGGGCTGGGGTATAATGGGAGTCTTGGGCCTGTGGATGGTATTTAAAGGCATACGATCAGATGAGATCCCAGTGAAAGGAGAGTTTTGAGAACAGGGTCCTGGAGCATTTCTAGGTCTATGACAAGCAAGAGAAGAGGAAGAGGCAGCAAAGGAGACCAAGCAGGAACAACCAGAGATGTAGATGAAGACCAGGAGGGTGGCATCTTGGAAGCCACAGGAAATCATCTCAGAAGCAGGGGGTTATGAGCTGATGGTCCAGGTGACATGAGGACTGAGAGTCCTCTTGGGTCAGTGCCGTGCAGGTCATTGGTGGCTTTGGTAAGAAGAGTAAAATGACAGGTGGGTCCGGTGACTGTGGCAACAAAAAGCGCCATAAGAGTGGGTTCAGAGGAAAGGACGGAGGGGGGAGGAGTTGGAGACAGATTGTTGACAATTGACAGCAGAATTTCGGGTGCTGTCTGGGGTAAATAAGGCCAAGAGGTAAATAAGGCTAGCGTCAGATACGTGGGGGCCCAGGTGTGGTGCTCACTCCGCCGTTTTCTTCTGATTGCGTATATTTTCTTTGTGAAATAGGAAACAAGGTGGCCAGCTGAGAGGGCCGTGGTGGAGGAGGGGTTGCACATTTGGGGAGACAAGGGAAGGAGTGCAAAGTCCTCTAGAAAGAGTAGGCACGTGGGAGCAAGATCCCTGTGAGTGTGATTGTGTGTTTCCTTAGCTGGGGAGGAGAAGGTCAAGAATGGAATTCTTGTTTGGCTGAACAGAGGACACAGAGTGAGAGGGTGGCCTGAGGTGACAGTGGATGCAGGAGGGAGATGGGCCCACCGAGCTTCACCTGGTGGTGCAGGGGGGTGGCGAGGAAGAGTCTGGGCTGGACGGACGACGGGCGGAGGAGGCGCAGAGGAGGGTCAGCGCTGTCCGGTTAGGGCCCCTGGCGGGAGTGGATGAGGGACACCAGTGCTGGGCTGTAGTTGTTCAGGGAACCGGGGACTTGGGGCAGCGGTGGGTACCTAAACTGCAGCGCTCCTCCCGGCGAGCCCTGCCTCCCTGTCACCCACCCCGGCTTCCGCTGCCTGCCTGAGCCGTCCCACTGACCCCAGAGCAGCGCGCCCTCGTAGCCCACCCGCCCCGGAGCCGTGCTGGGAGCGCATGGCTAGCAGCCTTTGCTTTGTGGAGGCGAGGGAGGTGTGTGGAGGTGTGCAGGCTCTCGGCACTGTGGGAAGGAAGGAGGAAATGTGGATGTTGACCTTTGTAGCGCTCTTCCCCTTCTTCACGTGCCCTGGAAACTGTGTATGTGCTAACCTTTTGCTTCTTAACCTTAACGTGAACGTTTTCGGGTGATTGCATCTTTCTGTGCAGTGTGTGTGCAGGCCCGGAGATCTGGAGCGTGTCCTCAGGTGTGAGGGAGATGGGAAAGCTCCCCGGAAAAAATGCCCTGCAAGGCCGGTTGAATGGCCTTTTTCCCTGCCCACACCCACCTCCCAGGACGTTCTGTTTGAGAGTCTGTCTCCAGCAGATCCCAAGAGCTGTGAAATGGCTCCGTAGTCACAAAAGATCCATGTTGGAGAGGCCAAAATCCCAGAAAATGACATTCCAGCACAAGCAGAGCTATTTTTAAATGTTTAGGATTTATAAGGAGAAACCGTCTTCATGGAATATAAACCACCCCCAGTTCACACTTCTGGGATTGAAGTAGCTAAATCTGAAAGATAATTCTGGCTTGTTTTTCTCCCCAAGTGGAGAATGTCATCGGTGAAAACTGAAGTCTTGGGCTGAGCAGCTCCGACCCGGCCTTGGCCGTGACCCGGTGCTGGGAAGGGCCGGAGCTGAGCCGGCGCCAGCTGTGGGCCTCTGCCCTGTCACCTCTGCCCTGGGCTAGTGAAGCTTTGGGGCAAAGGTTGTTTAAAACACTTAACTAGCAGGGAGAACACCAGTACCCCGCCTGAGTGCTCTTGGGCTCAGAGTGGCCGCAGTGGTTAAAGGAGCAATGTTTTTAGAGACAGCAACAGGTAGAGATGCTGTCGTGAGTCGCCCTGGCTGGAGGCTCCATTCACGTGAAACCTAACAAGCTCATTTTCCACGTCTAACTCCGTTGCCCTGTCTTTTTATTTATTTTTGTCCCTTTTTTGTTTGTTTGAGAGCCCTGAGTGGCTTTAGTCTCTGTGCTGCTGGGCAGGCTCTGCAGGCCGGCCGGGGCGTGGCCTGGGCATGGCCTCCGCAAGCCCTCCGGGTTTCCACCCTCTGGGTTTGAGCGACAGAGAGAGAGAGAACGAGTTTCTGGGACTGCAGGCCTCTCTGGACGGGTCAGCAGCCAATGTCCGGGGGTCATCAGTTACCTGCAAGGCCACCTGTGGGGCTGGGAGGGGCCAGAGAGGGTAGGCATTTCTGCTTTACTCTTTCTCTTTGACTGATGCTGACAAGCCGACCATGGGGAACTCCGTTCCCAAAACAGAGGCGATGAGGAGTGGGTGCGGAGGCTGGGAGGGTGCCCTGCCACCTGAGACCTCGTGAGCTGCTGTGGGACGGGGACGGGGACAGGGAGAGAGGACAGTGGTCTCGGGAGCCACATATGCCGGACCCTGAATATTCGGTTACAATCTATCCCATGGCTGGTGGAGAACCATTAAAATTTGTGAAAGGTAGTGATAGGTTTAAAAAAAAAAAGTGTTCTGGACAGATTCATGGGGGGCTGCTGTGCTTTCAGTATGAAGAGAAGATTGGAAGCAACGAAAAGAGTCAAAAGGGAAAGTTTGATCATGTATCCTAACAAAATTAAGGGACTTCCCCCACCCCTGATTTTAAAGATAGAGTACTTTTTTTTGGTTATTCCTAAAAGCCTAACAACAGAGCTTCATAGACATGTGCATACACAGTTACCAAAGAAATCTCATGCCTTCTCTTGTGCTTAGAGTTGCATAAATAACTTATGATCTTAGCTACATTTAACATTGCTTGATTAAATATCAATGAGGAAACCATTATGATTATGTCTAATGACATCGGGTCATTAGAATTTATTATCAAATGGATAACATAATTCAATTACCTCAATCTTATTTTCATTCTGACTTTACTGATTTTAATAATTGATTTTACAAGTGTGTTCCATAATTTATTTCTGGTATTTTAAAAAGTATCAACACATTTATTTGAATTTAATACTAAGGTGATAGAAAGGAGATTTGATTGGTTTGGCAGTGAAAAGGGTCTTTGTCTTTTAAGTTATTAGAACAAACTAAATATGCAAGTAATATGCACAGACATAATTGAAGCATTGTTATGATAAAGTTATTCATTGAGATATTTTATATGGAAAGGCACATTAACATTTATATTTTTTCAAATTCTTTTTGAATGTGTTGGTTTAAACAAGGTGCCTCTAAGAGAAAAAGTAATGAGTACAATTAAGCAATTTCTACAGCCTTAGTCCACTG